TGGGGATGTCACATAGATGACTCCATGATGGTTAGTCTCAGCTGTCCACACACTGTATGGTGGCCAGATCATCCTTTTCTACGACTCTTGTCTAATTTTCTCATAATACATTAAGACCATCTGAAACCACGTAGTTCATATCTTATTCACTATTTGACTGCTTGCCTTCTCTCTCTAGAAAATGAGGTCCTTCAGGGCAGGGACCCTCTCTGATTCAAGCTATCTCTCTAGTGCTTAGAACAGTTCCTGCACGTGATAGGTGCTTAAAAAATATCTGGCCAAGAAATGACATTGAATATCAAAGAGAGCTTTTTTCCCAGTGCCTGTGATGTGTCCAAAGCCGTGTGAGACCGTCTGCATCAATCATCCCATTTTATATGTGCCAAAATAGAAAATAGATGAAGAAGATGGAGTTCTAATAATGGTGAAGAAAGGGCTTGGAAGAATTAAAGCTCAGTTTGAAATGCCTGTACCCTGTGCCACTTAATGCAAGAACAAGGGCCATCTTGTGATATTAACAGGTAACAAATTTAAAACGAATAAAAGGAAATACTTTTTAAAACAGCGTATAATCTACCTGTGGAATTCACTGCCGCGGGATATTATTGAGGCAAATAGTCTAGCAAGATTCAAGAAAGGATTAGACATTTATATGAATAGGAATAATATTGGCAGTTACACTAACTAGGTTAAAAAGTTACAAGGCATGTCCGTCCCGGGCTCCAGGGCATAACTGCTCACCAGCTGGGTGAGGAAGGAATTTCCCCTTGTGATAGAGCATTGCATAATTGGCCAGATGCACAATGGCTGGTATTTTTGCAGTCTTCTGTAACAGACGTACAGCCCACTGCCTGGGGCAAGTTTCTGGAAAAGTCGGGCCAATGACCTCTTCACGTGGTTATTTCTGTCTTCTGGTTGCCCAGTCCTGAGTAGAAGGTACAGAGTACACAGAAACGTTTCTGGGATTTGTACCTGAAAATGTTTCCATTTCAGAAAACAGAACTGGTAAAAAGAATTTGCTGTTTCCTGATGAGGAAAATACTCACAGAATGAAATCATGCCCTAGTTGGAATCTCATTAGCGACACAGCCAGCAGCACCGGGAGGCAGCCTGGGCACTGCCAAACTTCAGCACATTGGAATTCTGGGAGAATCTCACACAACAGCATCCACTCATCGCTCGTGTCCATCTAATACAATGCCTTAGGCACGTGCACTTAACATGTATGTGTTCAATGAAAGTGCGTTTTTGCAGGTGTGGTAAGGAAAGTTGTTCATAAAGCTGTCCACTCACCTGTCAAAGCTTTTCTCTTTGTTACACAGCCAGGCACTGTCTTTGATTCTTAGCGATGGACATCCTCCATTTTTTCTTCATCCTAACATGGAAAACCCAAAAGGCAGTTGTGAGCCTTGCATCAGAATATGTGTCCATAATAACATGCTATCATATAAACGAGGACATGGAAACTAAATTATTCATTCTACTTACGTAATATTACAAATCTTAGTTACCCGGGTGTAGACAAGACTCAGAAGAAACTGTATCAGTGTTTGAACTATTTAAGAATGTTACCCCCAAAACTGTAGGACAAAGAACGTTCTGCAAACCAAAACAGGAAAGGAAATTTTAATTTAAATCCTCAAACCAGCAATGAACCTAAAAGATTTCGAAGAATAAAAATAGATAGATATACAAGAAAATGTTGTATAAATGTTAATACAGTGATCTTCTATTATCCATGGATTCCTCATCTGTGTATTCAACCAACCAAAATTTGATCTGCAGTTAGAGGAATCCGCAGAACCCACTGCAATGGAAGGCCAGCTGTACTACGTCATTTTATACAAGGGACTTGAGCTCCTCGGATTTCGGTACCCTCAGAGGTCCAGGAACCAATCCCAAGTGGACACCGAGAAAAGACTGTGTTTTTTCTGGAAAGAGAGAGAAAAAGAGAGATCATAGTTGCCATTAGTATTTTCAAATACGTTCTCAAAAAATAAGTTAAGGGTCACTGGTCTAGGAGCCAGTCCACGAGAAAATTCTCAAGTCCCTCTGGACAGTCTTTTCCACGTATGTGATAGAATTGCTCTTGTAAGATTTGCTTCCTTAAACTGGCAAAATCGTATTACTTAGATTCTCCTAGTATAAGATCATACATGTAGTAACCAATTCCCATCCAAAGGAAAAGACCTTAGACATTTAAGTGTTGCTTCAGAGAGCTTCCAGTCATTTTATTAACTGGCGAAAGATTAATCTTTTCAATTTTGGCTATTTTCTCTTGGTATAAGACTTTCTAATTACTTTTTCATGTGATTAGCATAAGAGTAGAGGCTGTCAGATTTTTGTTTATTGGTATTGGGTTGTTTTGGGGTTTGGTTTTGTGGGGTTTTTTTGGTAGTTGATGTTTGTTTTTCACTCAAAATTAACCGCATATCACTAGGAATTACACATTCAGAGTGTAAGCTCTGTTGACAATTAGGATGGGACTCAAATTTCAGTCTACCAGTGTTCAGATAAACCAATTCCTAAGATTCTTTTTCCTCACCTGTACAAGGGACATATACTAAATTTGCCTTAATCTGGTGGGCAGGTTAAAGGAGACAAGTCCGTAAAGCATCTGACACATCACCTGTCATATATTAAGCAGACAATGAATTTTATTTATTATTATGACTGTGCATATTTTGCCTATGTATTTGTAATCAGTAAGAGTACATAACCTATTTCAATATTATTACATTGTTTGCATAACAATAAGCATCAAGAAAATATTTTATAGTCCCATTTCCCCTATTGTTAGGTTTATGTTAAGTTCTAACTCTTGTAAACAACAGCTTGATGAACATCTTCGAACATTATCTTTTTGGTGCTGAGAATGGATTCCTAGAGGTAAAATTATTTGGTCAAGGGTTATAAAAAATTTGCATGGCTGTTGATACACAAGGTCAAATGAGTTTCCTTGAAGGTTTTTGCCATTGTAGCCCACCACAGCTCTAGAAGGGTATCAGTTTTGCTCTTTGGGGAATAATGGGAATTATTATTTACCAGGAATAAAAAGAAAGGAATTAAAAATAATGAAAAACTTGTACAAGTAAGCTGTTGTATCACCAGATCTAGGGGGAAAAAAAGAATTCTGTGAATGGTGCAAATTTCCATTCCTTCAACATTAGCCAGTTTCCTTCCAAGCACTTTCTCAAAGTGTCATACTCAACCTCTCAGAAACTTCTCCTGCAGTCACACATCTGCAGTCACACATCTTGTAGTTTTCCAGCTGAGTGAAGTCGCAGAGCGAAAGGAGTGCTTTCCTGGTTTTCTGCCAGATGTCCAGTGGTCCCACAAAACCCAGTGATTCAACTGCTCGCTGCTGGCATGAAGACCCTGTGCACAGGGCCATTCCCAGAGGAAATGGGACCTGGTGAGGCTAATACATAAATATTTTCTTGCGAGGTGAAATAGCGTAGAATGACACAGCCCACATCTGACCACAAAACATGGAAGGTGTAACCCAATGAGGCGTATCACCTGAGCTCTGAAAGGCATAATCTGAGGAGGAACAGTTGGTTTGTGCAGCTTTGCAAGAGACCTAAATAATAGCTGGTTTTGTGGTAAGAGAGGGGAAAAAAAGAAAAGAAAGAGAATACTTTGGCCTTTGATAGTGAATTTACTACATGTGAAAGATGAGGGACGGACAACGTTGAAGTGGAAATTTTCTAACTCAAGTTGATCAAAGAGAGGCTTTCCCTTAGCCTTTCTGTATCAGTAGGCTGCTAACCCCCACTTTCTCTTTAAGCAAGTCCTGAGGAGCCCCAAAATTTTATTTGCAATCTGTGTGGGCTTTGTCCTCACGAGAAAACATCTGACCTCCCTGCTCATCCACACCAAACTCTCTGATACGAAATCTCTTTTAAGACGCTGTCACTTATAAGGCTGGTTCAGCTGCTTCTCCCAGCTCAGCCACGGTGGAGTATTCACATAAAAGGTGCAAATCTCAGTAAGGATCATTTTTTTTTCTTCTTTCTTCAACTGAAGTACGGCTGATTTACAATGTTGCATTCATTTCTGGTGTACAGCATAGTGATTCAGTTATTACGTATATACTCTCTTTCATGTTCTTTTTCGTTGTAGGCTACCACAGGGTATTGAATATAGTTCCCTGTGCTAGACAGTAGGGCCTTGTTGTTTATCTATTTTATATAGTTAGTATCTGCAGATCACGAATTCCCAATTTTACTCCACCCTCCTCTTTCTCCCCTGGCAATCATAAGTTTGTTTTCTATGTCTGTGAGTCTGTTTCTATTTTGTAAATAGTCTGATTTGTATTATTTTTTTTAATTCCACATATGAGGGATATCATATGGTATTTTTCTTTCTCTTTCTGGCTTACTTTACTTAGTATGACCATCTCCACGTCCATCCATGTTGCCACAAATGGCATTATTTCATTCTTTTTTATAGCTGAGTAGTATTCCATTGTGTATATGTACCACATTTCATGTGTGTGTGTGTATATAGATATATGCCACAAGTTCTTTATCCAGTCATCTATTGATGGATATTTAAGTTGCTTCCATGTATTGGCTATTGTAAATAGTGCTGTTATGAACATTGGGGTGCATGTATTTTTTCAAATTAAGGGTCCCTCTGGATATATGCCCAGGAATGGGATTGCTGGATCATATGGTACCTCTATTTTTAGTTTTTTTCATGGAATCTCCATACTGTTTTCCATAATGGCTGCACCAAACTATATTCCCACCAACAGTGTAGGAGGGTTCCCTTTTCTCCACACCCTCTCCAGCATTTGTTATTTGTGAACTTTTTAATGAAGATCATTCTGACTGGTGTGAGGTGATACCTCATTATAGTTTTGATTTGCATTTCTCTGATAATTAGCAATATTGAGCATTTTTTCATGTACTTATTGGCCATTTGTATATCTTCATTGGAGAAGTATTTGTTTAGGTCTTCTGCTCACTTTTTGATTCAGTTTTTTTTCCCTATTGAATTGTATGAGCTGTTTGCATAGTCTGGAAATTAAGCCACAGTTGAGCTCTTTTGACACTTGTGGATGATGTAGCATTATTTGTTAAATTCCAGAATCTGGTACTGGTTAAACAGGCTGAGAGGATTAGTTACTTCAAAGGTGGGGACCATTGCCATGATGTTTTGTCCTGACTCCGTGGATGTCTGCACACCTGGGTATGAAGCACAGCTAAAGGCAAGCAACATGGTAGAAGGAATAAAGACTCAGCCTCGCACCACTTCTAGCTGTGTGACCCTATGCATGCCATGAACCTCTCTGGGCCTCTGCTGCTACTCTGTTAAATGGAGACAGTAACTGCTCGCAGAGTTATGTGAGGAGAACCCCAGCTCCCAGCACACAGGAGATTTTTTATGTACACATACATGCATATGTGACTATGTGTGTGTGCACTTGCGTTTTTGAAAATCAATTACTTCTCTCCATCTTTATAGCTCACAAGGTGATCTTTGAAATGTCAATCAAGAAAGGAAGGAAAGAAACAGATTTTCCTCTCCAACAAGAAAAGGCAATTAAATGTCAAATATTAACTGTTCCTGGGAGTAAATTTTTTTAATGGGTTAAAGGCTTGGCCATTATAGACCTCCAATATGTAATTTCTAAGAAAGGACCAGGTAATATTTTTTTTAATTAAGTGGAAGATAAAACACTAGAACCAGTGTATCCATTCAGAAACCACTTTTTTATCCATTTTCCGGAGCTTCCCGATTGCATCATGCCTTTTAAGAGACCCAATTTGTTGAACGGCACTTTATTTTAAGCCTTCACTTGTGAAAAGCATTGATTTATGATAGAGCTGATTAAAGCAATGGTGTCTTAAGCAATATGATTTCAATTATTGGACTTTCACCGTTGTGCATTATTCTGATCTTCTCCCCATCCTTTCCCCATTTGGGTTGATTCTAAGGAAGGGAGTATGATAGGTGACGTAATTTGGAAAGGTTTCTGCACAAACGGAGTATCAGAAAGGAAGGTATGGAGCGATGGACTGCTGTACCCTTTTTGATGCTGGGAGGGTACTGTATTTTAATATGCTCTGACAAGCTCGGACAACTCCCGGCTGAACCCCTACTGGATATCCTTAGGGTTATGCAGAGCTGAGAGTCTGCTCTGTTCCCACTGGAGCACATTGAAGTCGGAGGAAAATACACCCTAAGGACTCCCTCCAAGCCTGGTACTGAAAGTCTCACCTTCTCTTTTTTGTGGGCGTGGAGGAAACAGCTAAGCTCACACTTAGATCTTTAACTCATTTGAATCTAGCATTGATGTAATGCAGACCAAATTTTCTCTTCTTCTCGGAGAGCCTGTTCCCTGGATCAGGCTGGTAAATAGAAAAGTGAAATTGGCCAGAAGCCATATGCCGGGGAATGGTGGCAACTGTGAAGGGGACCCTGTGTCATGGAGGAAGCTGCTCCTGCACCCCAGAGAACTGTCACCACGTGCAACTGTGGCCCAAATGGTGCCACATCTTCCGACTTTTGAAAGAATCCAGAAATCTGTATAGTTAGATGAAGTGGAAATCTCTCCGTTCCTAAAGGTTGGACAACTCTGGCCAAATTCAGCCTGGAGGCCACCTCTCCTGTGCCTCCTATTTGGTGCACAAGTGGTCAATCTATCTAGCTACTGGGGAGAAGATAATGCCACACATTGTTTTTAATTAAAAAGTACTTTTATCCCACTCTTTCACAAACATTTAATGGACATATATTATGTGCTAAGAACTACCAGTGAGGGAAAGCAAAAAAAAAAAAAAGTGATACTCGTTCTCTGTCATCAAAGAATAGCTAGAATTCATATATATAAGAATTACAAAGGATTTCAGGTTTAACAATTAAAGGAGAATTGCAACCTAATATTGGGGCTCAATCTATCACATTTCTTTTTAGTACATTATCTCCTGTGTCATTCTTCAGGTAAGGTAGTCTGTCCCAATGCTCTGCTTCGAAGCTCCCATTTAATTTGATGACTGCTCCCATGAATACTATGTAGGGCTCATTCCCACTAAAATTCCCAACAGCAATTGGAAGGGAAAATTCCAGTTGCGCCTCGACAGTTTGTCTCCATCATAACAATGTGATGCATTTCTTAGTTCGGCGCTATTAACTGGACTTCTGCATGATTTAAATCTCGCTACTCTGTGCTGCTGTAGTTTTTAATGAGAGCTGACCAGCAGATGCTTGATGCATTAATCCCCAAGGAAAACCACCACCTCGATCTTTTTTTTTTTTTTTTTTTTTTACTTTTTTGGGGAGAATTATAGAAGTCCCAAGACACAAATGAAAGCATTTGGGTCCAGCCATTAGAATTTTCAGTTTAGCACTTGAAAAATTAGATACCTAATTGCTTTACAGTAGAAAATCAGATCAAAGTTTAGATTCTTTCCTTCTAAACTTTGTAATTATTTCTCAGACTCCTACTTGAAATGCCTTGAAGTACTTCCATTGAAATGTATAGGGGCTTCTTCCCTCTTCCTTTAAAATACGCTTTGACTGTGCTGGGTCGCCTGCCATTGCCCTCTTTGATGGCGCTGCCCGAAAGGGAAGTTCTCAAGCATCACCACCACTGGCATCGGTGCGATATAGGAACGGACAAAACAGGTGGGGCACGGGGCTAAGGGTCAAGCATTGCACCGATTTAAAAACAACACTTGATAGACTCTGTAGCTCAAAAGCAGGCGATTATGGAAGATCTCATTTCCTTCTTTGCCTTGAATTCCCAGTCAACCCTTAGCATCCAGGTCCCCTTGTCCATCCTCTCCTTCCAAGCCCATCCCCATAGCAAGCTCCTGTATGTCTTCTCAGGGAGCACTGAACCATGGGTACATGCGGGTGATTGGATCAGGATTAGAATGCTGTGGGCGCTGGATGTGGGGCACACCTCAACCATCTCTTTTGCTTAACCGGGCAGGCAATTCCCACAGGGTCACTGACGTTCTTAGGTGCCACCTTGGAGATTCATCTTCAAGCCCATTATTTGACCAATGAAGGAGAAAAGACTGAGAGAGGAGGTGACTAGCCCAGGGCCATAGAGCTGGCCCTGATGACTTCAGCTTGATGCCCTCCCCGCTGTCACTCACAGCGGTGGCCCTGTAGGAATCACTGCTCAAACAGAATGTAGGCGTCACAATAAAAACTAGCGTATTATAAAAGCGCTCACTGATGGGCTCTTGTTTCGTGCCAAGTGCCTGCCCATTGCCAGAGACTCAGCCACGAATGGGAAGCGTAACACTCTTGATTTAATCACCTGCTGATGACTTCGCCTCCCTGGGTTGATGCACAGAGCCGCCTGGACTGAACATCACCTAGACTGTAAGAGGAGGACTCTTAGAACCTTCACCCCAACGTCTTGTTTTATAGAGGAAGAAACAGTGGCCCCTAAAGGTCTTAAGAGCTAATTCACATGTCAGGCAGGTCTACAGCCCACGATGCTAATCACTGAGCCATGTCCTCTTCGCTTCAGCACATGCATCTAATTCAGAATGCAACCCAACGTGGGTGCCCAACCTATCACACTGATCACAGATAGCGCCTTTGTTACCCTTTAGGTAAGTTAGTTTGTCCCCAGGCTCTGCTTTGAAGCCCCCTTTTAATTTCAGGACTAGTCTTATGAATACTAAGGTACAGGTGAGGCACATTCCTGTTAAAATCCCCATATGGATTGTGGACAATTGACAGTTGGACAGTTGACCGCGAGCCCCAGAGTTCAGCCTGCAGTGACTGGCACGATGTGCTCGGGAACCGCACATACCCATACTTCTTCCAACATATTCAAGACAAACCTGGAGATCTAGAGTGTTAAGCCGATGGCCACCAAGACACTAAGCTTAGTGTTTGTCCCTTTACCATACGAATGGGCTTTTGAGGCTTGCCATAGATATATTTAAAATAGTCGTTGCTGTTTGTACATATTTCCAGTGACCTTGTAAAGCAATAGTGTTCAATAATCTCAGCTGAAACCATAAATGGTAGCTGAGCCCATTAAAGAAGGAGTTAGATCTTCTATTTTTTTTTAAATGTGGTCTTCCAGGAAGCCGCCTCTAGACATAAGTACAGAAAATTAACACAATAAGTAAAGCATTATAGAACAGCTATTAACTGATTACACTAATAAAAACCAAATGGGGGCCTTAATTCTGCCTCTCTGGGAGAGAAAGACAGATAAAATAAACAGCAGGAAAAGAATATGGAGTAAAGGAAATTGATTTTATACAATAATAATACAGAAACCTCCCACCATGTACCAAAAAAAAAAAAA